TTCCCACAAGTTAAGATGCAGCAGCACCGGCGCTCTGCATGTAAATCTCCCAAGTTTAAGCACACAGGCTACGCTGGCTGGCTCGCCCTGTCTGCCTGTCTCCTTCTCCCTGGGACACATAGACACTCTCTCTCTCTCTCCCACCCACAAAGCTGCAAATCCACCCCTGACTTCAACACTCTAAAACCCCAGAAGTCGTATTTCACGTCTACTGCAGGACGATTCCAAGAGTCCAGTGTGCCAACACACACACACACACACACACACACACACACACAGTATAATATAAGTATACGTGCCAATATCTTTTCTTTCTAATCCGACCAAACAGAGGAGTTCTAAATCACTTTTCTAGGTACTTCATTGCGGTGTTAAAGCACAGCTATGTTGTTTGGCTCCCCACAGATCCGCACTTGTGGAACGCTGAGACCGATACAATGGAATTCACTCAAATCCTCTTTAGGAAAAAACAAACCCGAACAAAAGGAAGTCATTTCCCAGTCCGCACTGTGACCAGTAAAGGGGACGTGTGCTGCAGTGTGGCGTCTGGTGATGTGATGTGGTCCGACTGATGGTTCCAAAACGAGTCCCAACAGGCTTCGGGTCCCGAAGCCGTAAAAACCTGGACGCGGATCACTCGCTCACATCCGGCCAAAAGAACCACCGGGCCGTTATGACGTCCTGGTCTTGAGTTCTAAACCAGACGGGGACATTGCTCTGAAATCATTTCAAATGTCCGACATCGTCTTCTCTTCCCGTTAACACATTGTCTCGTTTAAACCACGTAGAGTGGAGAACCCCTTGTGAGGCAGAATTCCACAAAAAAAAAAAAAAAAAATCACAGTTTCCATTACTAATAGCTTGATTTAATGGCCTAAAGGACGAGTAAAGTTGATACTCAAGACAAAGTCGATTGCTTTGCTCGCAATTTGACCATTTAAGGGCCGAGCATGTCCGGGAAATCACGTTCATCTCTGCTGACGCTTGAAAGAAAGTAATGTTTTAAGTAATAAATCATCTTCTCTATTGTTCCACCTGCACATTTCACGTCTTACGCCCCCACAGTTGAAACTGCTACGGTCCCGTTGCCAAAAAATTCCCACTCCTGTTCCAAGTCCTCCAGCTTGTCCTCAGGGGTGCAATGCGCCGAGGGCGAACAGCTCGGCGGGGTCGCCGCCCACTGGGAGCAGTGGGACGGGAGCACCTCTGCTCATTTTTCAGGCACGTGGCAGCACTTTGGTGGGATGTCCACGTGCGCGTCTTTCAACGCGGGGGGACACAAAAGGGATATGCTCCGCTGGCACGGCATCGCAAATCTCACACCGGGACGCCTCTCTGCGGGACGTGCCACCCGGGCGCCAACCCTGACCCGAAAACACGTGCACACGCGGGCCGTGGCGCGCATCGGCGCTCTTGGAGCTCGGAGGGATTCTACCCCGGGTGGGCACGCTTCACTGTTTACCGTTTCCTTTGACCTTAAAGCCACTCGCACCACGTCCGTCTCAATAGGTGAATAATAGCGGCAACAGCGCACACACACACACACACACACACACCGCTCTCCATCCCCCTCAGCTAGCACCGTCACGCCAGCTCCAATCATCGCAATACTCTTTCCGTGTGTTATTTCAAGCTCTCCCACTTATCCTTTTCTGTCTCGGCCTGCGTGCGTTCGAGGGCGACGCGTGCGTCAGCGGAAATGTGAGCGCGGATGCAAACGGGCGAGGGGCCCGTGTGATATTTGGCGAGGGGCTTGTGGCTCGGCGCCAGTAACCGGCCGAGGGGAGGGGAGGCCGTGTACGTGTCTCTGCTTGAAGGAGGAAGTGTCTCGAGAGTCACGAAGGTCGCGAATAAGTAGAAGTTTGTTGATTTTCTAAACCTCCTTTAAATATGAATTAACAGGTAACAGGTTACTTTACTCCAAACAAGCGGAAATGTCTGTTGCAGATCTCATTCAGACGTTTTTAAGGCACATTTGTGACTTATGACTTTGTGCAACATATTCTATATAAAGGGAACGTGTCTTTTGATTTTCAGTGGAATCATACTGAGATTTAATCTTCCTGATGTTTAATATTATAAAATCTGTTTTTCCGCATCAGTTATTTCCAGCAAATTCATTAGAGCCTGTAGAACTGGTCACAGGGCGTCACAAAAGGAAGGCATGCAGTGGTGATAGAGATAATATTAATGCTGATACATAACATAACATTTAGTTGCGGTAAATACATTTCATTTTATGGATTTCAACAGGGAGTCAGACAGCCCGATGTGCGCTTGCAGTGACTTCACATAGGACACCTCGTGAATTATGCACTAACCATACAGCCAGATGTGACTGGTGCCCGGTGCACGATGCTCCGCACCAGGAAGGTGGAACATCTCCATGTGACTGTCATCGTTTTAGCTTTTTCAGCACCGCGTCTCTGCAATCAATCCCCTCCGAGTATTTTCTGCCTATTTCTATATTTTCCCCATGTGGTGCAATGGGTTTGTTTCTGAAAATGCAAATGAAAAACGCTGCTATAGAGCTAAGTAATTTATTTACCTCCAGGCCTTTTCCTTAATTAATCATCTGTATTTTGTATTAAGGGCGTGAGAATTGTGCAGAGTTTAAAAGAATGCAATGAGGATAAACGCTGGGGGCGTGGCCTCGTGTAGCTCCTCTGACTAAGAACGCTGATTTAAAAAAAGCTCTCTCTCTCTCTCTCAGACAGTCGTGACTCATTCGGTTCTGGAGGAGAATTTAGTTGTCCTCATTTAACAACGCTTGGTCCGAAAGACAGCGGGCCGCCGGCCAAATCTCCTGAGCTGGCGAGGCAGCGAGATGATGATGATGATGATGATGAAGAATCACGGGTTCGATGCCCGCCGCGGCATCATCGGTCAAAAGGTGGGCACCGTGTTTTCTTAGTGTATAAGTGATGGGATGGTGTCATATTCTTAATGTGTTTTCCAAAAAAAATATTCAAGTTTCAAAACTCTCCCATGAGGTTTTGTTCATGGTCGGGAGGTTTGTCACGTCGGCCATTGGAGGTTTTGTTTTCTACCTTTTATGAAAATTGAAAAGGTTAGAAAACTATACTTAAAAATAAAAATAATGAGGTGAAATCTGATCTGAGACTGAAGGCCAGTTTCGGCTTCACTGTCAACTTGAAACAAATGATGCTCATGAAAGTGTTTAAGATGCAATCCATGAAGACAAAGAAGTCCTCTGTGGGATGCCGTATAAAACAATTATTACCTGGGACAATGAATCTTATTAAACAACCATTTTAGAGGAATAGTATTTACAATTAAGCCCCCAGCGGGATCTTTATTCCTGTCTGAGACCAGAGGGATTGAAGGTTTTAATTAATCTGAACGCCAGCATCCCGGACACACACAATGCAGACCGTAGCAGGAACATTTAGGCGGAGAGGGCGGAGCGACAAATCACCCCTCGCATAGACGTCTCTGTGAGACACTCCAAGCCTCTGAAGAGGAGGATGGAGCCTCGTCTACGACACAGCGAAGCATCGTGCGTTAACATCGTCCCAAACGCCAGACGCCTCTCCGCTCGGAGGACGTTTGTGTAAATGGAAGCCGGACATGGGGGGGAAACAGGTACCACATCACCGTGTATGCCTTTATTGTGTATCCTCTCATCACTAAATCTGTACACTTCACATTTTCCCACTTGCATACAAGTGTTTTACCCACAAAATAAAAAAATCGGCGTCCAACACGGTGGACGGAAATGCCCGTGGCGGAACGGAGAGAGAAGAAGGCAGAGGGACGGTGTGTGTTGCCCCTCAGCTTTTAGTCAGAACGCACATTTCAGCACGACTCACCTCACAAACCTATTGATGTAATCTCCCCTTCGGCCGAGACCCCTGAGCAGAACATGTGTGCGTTCCCGGTGTGTGTGCGCATCCCTGTCTTTGGCCCTTTGGTCTTTGGTGCGTGCAAAAAGATGGTGTATGTCCGTGGATGTGTGCGTGTGTGTAGATGTATTTGACAGTGAGAAATGCTCACGTCTTTGCGGTCTGGCGAAATAATCCATAACCGTGGCTGTGCACACGCTCTCTAGACCCGTATGTACACATGAAAGAATGCAGAATGCAAAATGAAATATTTCTGACATCCATCACAGCCAGCAATAAGCTGTTTTTGCCCATAAAACTAATGTAGCAGTCACAGACACTGACTGCCCTCTAAAATGGAAATTCATAAGCCAAAATGGCACAGGGGGAATATCAAAATATGACACATCCTCCGCTTCGCCAAACCCCCCCTTCGCTGCCTAATGCCGACTCCCCATTCCATCCCATCGCCGCTCTTCTCCAGGGTCTTTCAACAGTAAGCATGTGCTGTAGAATCCCTTTCTGGAGGACGTGGCAGCCCTCCCTGACACAGACAGACAGACTGACTCCTCGCCACGATGGTCCAAAACGAACCACATCTTCAAGTGGCCAAATGGGATGCCAAGAAGGTTGAAGGCGGCGTGAGCAGATCAAGAGAACGGACATTACACGTCGCATCCAGGGCAGATGGGTAACAGCCGGGCCGCTTTATTTCAGATGTGGCTTTTGGAACAACTTCAGGTAAACACTGTTGCAAAATAGGTTGGAAAGGGATAACCAAACGAACCAAGAGCAGACCTCAGAGCGCGCTCCTGCTCTGTTTCAGCGTTTTCTAACCCTCTGTGATTCAGTCAGAAGGGCAAAAAGCATATATTATGTTTAGTGATACTAGTGTTCTGCCTTCCCGGAGCAACTTGCACCGCCAGCAATGATCTGTTCTGATGATGTATAACCTTTCGAGATGGAAGGAAAATCGACAACCAGCAATTTGTGCAGCAAAGCCGCTGCGGGCGACTGGCAAAGTAGAAATTCGGCTGCAGATAAGATCCGACGAGGAATCTGTGTTCAGGCCTCTTCTCGGGAAAACAATCAGGCACGAGGAAACCACACACACACACACTCACAAACAGCACAACAACAGCTCTGGTTGTTTACCCAGTATGGCCCAATTGGGATGAGCTCTCCTGTTTCTACTGGGGTCCTGAAGGTCCGTGGAGGAGGGGCTCCCTCTGCCTAGATAGGGCTGTCCGCCCTGGGCCGAAGTGGCCGAGACGCTCCAAGGTTCCCCACCCTCTGTAAAAGATGCGCTTCATTCAGGACCGACAGCCATCACGGGGGAGGCGGGGGGGTGCGGTGAGGGGGTCAGCAGGGTTCACAAAAGGTCACACAGGGAGGTCAAGACTCCAAATGATAGGGGATGCTCACGGGTCAAAGAGGAGAAAAGGTCAAACAAGAACTGGAAAGAGAGCATTCAGAGCATTCAGCGGACGGGCAGAAGTTGCATTCTGGGTGTTTTCCAGGTAGGTAAAGGCACAAGGGGTTGGGGGGGGGGGGGGGGGGGGGGAAAACAAAAAATGTGAAATTGGTTGGGAGCGCTGAGGAAAAGAGGAATCGTTGCAGCGCTGAGGGAGTATAGTTCTCATCATCTGCAGCAGAGACAGTAGGAGGAAGCTCACAGATCTTTAATGCTTTGTCAGTGCCAATCACAGCCAGTCAAGATCACGCGCCGTATCCAGCTCCACCACTGGCGGCTTCTCACATCCGCGAATTCCGTAACTCTGGCATCCAAGCAGCATGTGCCGCATAAAGACCCCGTCCGCAACAAGGGAACAATTCGGGTGGCGTTGGCCGCGATTACACGCTGACGAACCCGATCCAGTGTCGGTGTGGAAAAAGATCACCGTTCAGCCCACTTATGTATGAAGAGAGTGTGCACACAACCGAATCGATCCAGCAGTCCATCTAGCCTCACGCAAAACAAGCCCGGGATGGAAGCATCTGAGGCCAGCTGGCAAATTGGGGGCATGCAGATATGGATTTTTAGTTAGGACGGCCATTGTGGATGAAACAAATGCAAATGTATGTGTCAATGCCCTCATTTAACATTTCTGCAAGCAGAGACAGGCACAGCACGAGAGCTCAGCTGTTTGTGTTTATTTTTATGAACTGGGGATCGCTGCGGCTCCGTGGTCAAAAGAGGAGGCACAAAGGGAGAGGGAGGAGGAAAAGAAGCTTGAGGCCATTATTGTCCAAAGACAAGGCGTTTGTTAGAGGGACGGCTTTAATCAGACATGGGACACAGGGGGAAATAGTGTAAATTCCATCCGACCAGCAGGGTCCGGAAAGGAAATGTAAACTGCTTTGCTGCGAGGAAGCAAGAAAGCTCTGCAGAAAATACAATTGGGACTTCCTTCATAAAAATATATGAAGAAGGATTCCAATGCAGGAAGCGTTGTGCATGACGACCACGCGCTTTAAAACCCTTCTACGACGTAGAAGTACAACTACCACATCGCCACTCAATCCGGAAATTTCTGGAGGCTAGTTGCCCTCACCAAAAGATCAAATTAAAGCCTGATCGACTAAGTATATAAAATAAAATACATTTTATTCTTCTTGTCATAAAAACAAGGCCTTTTATGACTCTGAAAATAAAATTGTTATGCAGTGCGACAGAAACAACCAGATGGAGTGATACAAACAACACAAAACTGGACACCACGGCATCGCCCTGTTGGACAGAAATGCGTGAATGTATAAATTCACCACATGTGCTCATTTATGTGCCTTGGCTTCCACAGAAGAGCGCGTGGTCACACGTCTTCCATAAAGTTAAGCAAATAAGAGCCGTGAAATCAGACTGCCAGGATAACTTGGTCCCTGACGACTTTTAACCGCGAGATCCGTGTGGGAACAACGAGACTTGGTCAAAAGAAGTTCAACGTGGTGGCTTCCTGCTCGGTATACATGTGCTAAAACTTGGCCAAAATGTAGTTGTTTGTAGTTGTAATAACCTCAACTAATAAAACGAGTAATTATCCTCTCCACTCCCATCATGCACCATCTGCCCAGGTTTACTTCATATCCGCATTTCACACTGCATGGAAATAAGTGTTTTTATTACACCATGCGAAAGGTGTTCCGAGGTCTAACGTTAAAAGTGTGCGACCCATCCTCCTCCCGAGGGTCTCGTTCGCCCGCATGTGCCCACGTGTCTGTGTAGAACTCTATTCACGTAGGTGTGTGCAACTGTGTATGTGAAACGTTAATTGTCCATATTTGCATGCAGCATAAAGCAGCAGCGGGAGGCAGACCTCCCTCCCACAGATTTGAGCTGTCAACCGCATTTATTAAGTATGATGAATCACCGCTCCACTTTACATCCAATCAAAGGCCCCTCAGAGGGACTCAAATGTGGTCACCTTTAGCTAAATGATTTTCTTGGCCCGTGGTGGGCCAGCCAGCGATTGGATTGGCAACCTGATGATATGGCTGCTGTTAGAATTACCCTGCCAGAGGCGCACAGCTGGATCCGTCTCTTTTGAAACAGCGTGGTGAATTAAGTGGCCAGCTGACGAGTAGCTGCACGGAAGAGGAGGATATCAAAAGGTATGGTGAGGATATGCACGGCAAAGGGGTCCTTTGACCTTGCCCTAAGGCCTGAGCTAGCTCTGCGCCTTGCTGCACAACGTAGCACGCTTCATTATATCTGAACCATCTCTCCTCCACGAGAGGGATTCTCAAAAACCACAAGCTTCAGTCCATTTGCACGTATCAAAAATACACTCGTACGTTTCCTGGAATCTCTGAACAGGCTGAATAGCAAAAATGGATGACACAAGGTCAGCAAAAGCCAGTTTATTTCCCTCCGAGCTCAAAGACAAAACTCCGCCTGGAACCGCACACCTCGAACCCCGCTGAAGGACGAAGCCTTTGATCTCGAGCAAACGGAAGCACCCGGGGAGACAGGAAGCTGGGTCGATAGCTTCTTGTAGTCACAGCCTCGGGTTTCCAATCTAACACGGCGCCGCATTGATTAGGCTTCGGAGGAGACGAGGCGCGGGGACAGTGATGTCGGCAGTGGATTTGCGAGTCTAACAAAACGAACTCCGGCGCGGGCGACTGGGCGGCGAGAGCTAGTGGGACAGATTTGATCTCGTCCCAAAACAGGCGACTTTCTTCTTTCACGTCAACGCACTGCGGACCACTCGCGGACTGAGAGACAAGTTGGACGTCCCGGTGCTCAATTAGCTCTTTTAATATGCTAATCGTACATAGTTTGGGACTGAGGATGTCTGTACCAAAAGTGGTGGCAAACGCTGTAAGGATTATTGTCGTCCATATCTATTTTAGACAGAACAGATTCAAGATATTTGTGTTCATTTATAAATATGAATATTTATTCTTGATTAAAATATTGTGCACTATCAATTTATGGAGCTTATTAAGTCATTGTGACTAGTATTGTTAGTTAGTATTGTTTTTACACATGAAGGTGTGTCTACTTTTTCTTCCATACAAAGTAAGCACTCTGGATGAAGATGTCTGGAAAAATATCCAATATAAGCTTTAGTTTCAAACTAGAGGCAGAGCTTTTTTGCGATTGTTAAACTAAAACTCTTTTGATGACGCAGCGTTAATGAAACCTCCTTCCTTGAGTCATTTAGATTTCAAAGGGGACGAAGGCAGCGTTGTGGGAAGTTATGCAAAGGGATTCATACAGTTAGTCATGCGCTTCTGACCTCATCAATACACTAACGCCAAAACCACAGCGGGAAACTGGTGAGGTCATCAGCTGCGCTGCGCGTTCCTCCAACTGAGCGGCGAACCCAAATCTTTTCATTTTACTCTCTAATATCCACTGCAGCCTTGGTTTTCTGTGATATGAGCTCTTTTCTGGTGGTTAAACATCATCATTGTGTGTGTTGGACCATGAGCTGTGCCGGGGGTTTAACAACCTTTAGGTCTAGTAGGACCAATCATGTCCGGGCCAACGCGTTCAATGAGAGGTCACGAGTCCGTCCCAACTCGGCCCGTCCCAAACGGTGAGGACACAACCTGTATCTCTCAGATACAGAACAACAAATTATGTTTTGACCTCTGTATTCCCTCCCTGACTCACCCTCGCATAAACACACACACACACACACACACCTTGCAGACGGACACGAGAAGGGGAAGAGGTAGCGGAAGACAGTCAGACGTTGGCAGCTCGTAATGAGAGTGACTTCCTCTGCAGCCAGTGGTTGATGCTGACAGCCTCTCAAGTCCCGCGTGTCGGCACGGGGGGGGTTGGGAGGGGGTCGGGTGGGGGTTTGAAGCTTGACAGCCGGGACGCGCAACTTGCTGATGTTTTCACACTGGCAACACCCGCTGCAAGAACGCTGCAAGGTTGACTCAGGCGTGGGAGGGAGGAGGATCCGCTTGAAGTCTCGACTCGTGGATCAGACGCAGTATTGAGCTTCGGTGTATTTGGGCTTGGGACTGCGTGAGCGGGCGACATTCACGGCGCCAACTGGGAGGAGGACAGAGCTTAAGGAGAGAGCTTAAGTCAAGCAAAAGGCGGAAAGTCAGAGAACACAGTTTGCGATCGCTGCATATCCGCCTAGATCGCCTATAGTTGCATTCACGTGACAAACCCATGTAAGGAGGCCGAGACAGGGAAAGACACTGAGGAAAGAGGGACAAATCTGAACGTTCTGTCTCCAGACTCGCACCGCCCTGTTTTTAAGCACAAACAGCACTTTGATTTGAGTGCCGCCAACCTGAACACTTTATTATCGCTTCAAAGCTGCCAAACATCTGTCAAGAGGTCAGTCACAGCGAGGACGCCAGCTGTAGGAACTCATCTTTATTCATAGGTTACACCTCCTGGTTGTCGTCTTTTACATTTCAGTACGTGTCATTTAGCTGACGCTTTTATCCAAAGCGACTTCTTGCCACTGCCTTCGCGTCAATTAACCACGGGTGCTGTGGTTGCTTTAAAAAAAAAAAAACCTTTGTAGATAGAACCTTTGTGGAAATAGTTCTTTTTGTTAGGTCAAGCATACTCGGCTCTAGAAAGGAAAAGAAGTGGTAGATCATGTGACGTAATGTTGTGAAAGGGACACAAAAGGAACCTTAAACAGCCACTGTTTATGAATACAGTAATACACCCAGGCTGTGTGTTTTCCAGCAGCATGCGTGGGCCAAACGTCCGCTTGGATCTCGGGATAATGCTGCGCGTTTCTCCCTCCTGCGTGGATCAGTGACGCGCGAACATCTGCGACTGCCGCTTCAGCTAAACTCTCAGCTCATATGAACTCAGGCGGTGGGATGGAAAACGATTGTTTCTTCTCTGCTCTGAGTGGCGGGCGGCTACCTTTTTGTTTACCGGTGTAAAAAATAGAATGTGTGTTCACGTATGCCACGCGTGTTCGATGCAAAGTGAAAACCAACACGCTCGAAAAAGAGCTGACAAAGAGAGAAAAAGAAAGGGGGGCGGAAATGTTTGATATGGTTAATTAATTGATTAAAACACTAATGGGATTCATGAAAATGCATTGGACTAAACCGACCACTGCACGAGTAGCTGCTCATTTCCGCGTGTCCCGCGACTCACTGGACTCTTCCCCCTACGAGGTCTCCAGAAAAGACCTGGAAATAATTACCTAAATCAACCCAGTGGAACGACCTCTGTGTGTGTGTGTGTGTGTGTGTGTTATCTGGACTGTTTCAATCATATAGTCACAGTTGATTTTTACAATGTCCGGGTTGGAAAATATTCTGTAACCACTTCTGAATAATTTAGCAAACTTGAGCTGACAGTGAGAAAGTCTTTACAGCAACTTCCAGGGATTTAATGTGACTAATGATTATGGATGAAGACAGCCACATTAAGACAAACGGCGCGGTGATGAATAGGATCATGCGAGAGATGTGCTCAAGATTCTCTCTCAATCCGCCCCACTTTTATTTTCCTTTTCCACACACACCAGCCTTTGGCACCGTGTTAAATGGTGCTTTGTTTAAATATTATAATTGTGATTTTTTTGTTGTTGTAAATCAGCAGACACCACATATACATTCCCTTGAGTTTCACACGCAGTACACATGTGGCCAAAATGTCCCGTCCCCCTAACGAAAGCGGACTGACGCCGTTGGGCGTTTCATGGGGAAACAGGTGTCCGGGGGGCGCAGCGGTGCGTGTCTCAGCGTCTGTGCGCTGTACGTATCACGAGAGATTAGTCACTTCCGTCCGGGGAAACGGGGCCCGACTATGGAATTATAGGATCATGGCGGGGGCCTATTGCTCCTATAGCTCGTACTGCCTCGCTGAGACTAATGTGGTAACCTGTCTTGAAATGGGGGGGCCACAGATGGCTGACTCGGATCCTGTGAGTCCGAGGACCTGAGCGCATTCTGCATGAATAGAAAGTGTAACGATATTAAGTTGAAAAAAAGTCATAATTCACCTTTAAACATTAAATTGACGGTGTGCGAAAGATGTAAATCATGATTGTGAGATATGTACAGAGACCTCCAATATCACCCAACCTCTAACGTTCTTTATTGGCGCTCTGTTTCTTTTTTGTGCATTGATATTTCCGATACATCTCCCTTGTGCATTCAAGACGTTCGCATTGCTCTTAATGTGCCTGTAATGTTGGCGTCATCAGGGAGATTAAGCACAGAGGTGGTGTCTATACATTTGCATGTGTAAACATACACACAGAAATGAGAAATCCCCGGGGAGCACTTTGCACATTGGTTGTCCTTTCAAACCGTGTGTGTGTTTTGGCTTTATTCATGCATGTCACTTTTTTTAAAAAAAATTTTAAGTTCCCTCGCTGCATCCGTTGCGCTGCGACCGGGGAACTGACGCGACGATGCCGCCTGAGTGATCAGAAACAAGCTCTGAGCTCTACTCATGTCGGCCTCCATCCTTCTCCTTTTCACCCCACCCTTTAATCTCCTGAGCAAGAGCAGTGGAGGCAGTGATCTCATGCTCTCTCCCGTTGTGTCCTCTTAGGCTAACCCTGATATTCGCTGATTAACCGTCACCCCTGCAGCCTTCTCCTCTCACCCGTCCGCCCCCGACTGCCGCCCACAATTCTCCTCTAAAGATCAGCTGCTATTTTCATTCTAACTTTATCCCCGTCTGCTTTGTCTTATCAACCAACCAACTAGTTATCCACCCATAGCTATACTATAGAAAAAGGATAAACCCTGCATAGCTGTGGATTGGTCAAGGGGTTAAAGGTGTCCGAAGATAAATCTGAGCAGTTAGATTATTACGAAAATAAAAAAACGTCATTAGTTGATAGAATATGTTGATTTTAGATTTTCCTCTAGCTTAATGTCTAATGCTTGATTCTTGTCTTCCACTTTTAAAAAGCCTTCAAATCAAACAACCTGAGAAGGTCGTCACGTAGAAACGTCCGTGGTCACAAGCCAAAATGTGGGAAACTGAAAGGCGTGAAGCACCAACGGCGATAGAAAATGAGACAAAGAGTTGTCCTCTTGAAATAAAGATCTTTCTCAACTTCTCCATTAGGAGGACTTCCAGATATCATTGCTCACTGTTGGACTCATTGATTAACTAACTCTTTGAACTCGTTGTTAATGTGATAAACAAATGAGTCAATGAAAATAATCATTTGTCAACCCATGAGCGTCCTTAAATGACGCTGATACTTCGATATGGTGTCCGATCTCCGCCTCTTACAAAGAGAGATATACAGCATATGCAAAGCCGTCGATCACTACCAAGTGGCATTTGGACATTAAATGAGGAGCGCCTGCCTTCAACGATGAGGACGACACCATAAATCTGTCCGTTCCCACTCCTGGAACGCACAGCGCCGGCCGGCGATGGATCTCGCTCACTGGCACACTGATGTGGACTACGATCCCATGCTGCACTCGCCTCGGCATCCATGGCCGGCGGGCGTCTCGTCCTTCCCGGGACTCGCTGGGCGTGTTACGGGGCCAGAGACGTAATGAAGTGTGGCGAGGTGTCTCCCGTGAAAGTCCTCTTTTTTTTTCCTATTGGGATTGGTCTTTTCTCAAGGCAATATCTCTTAGGAAGCAGCAAATTAACGTGAAGTCGGTACCCAGGGGGAGATTTTGTTAATCTCTATCTCAACCACCCACATCATGATCTCACCCTTCTATGGGAGGAACATTGGATTTGGGAAAAACGGCCTATTGTGGGATAAAAACGACGGCGGATACGGAAGAGAAAAAGGCTCCTCTTCCTCAAAAGGGGTCAAGATATCGGCCTGGTTCTCCGGCGATGCGGAGGCAGAGCAAGTCTGTTCGATTTGACACACCACTCGTCACCCGCAGTGTAATAATGAAAACGTGAGCAGCCACGTGATTGTGCCACATTCATATAGAGCGGGCCCCCCCCCCCCTCGGAACGCCACACCGGCCTCCACCGTGGCTCCACGCAGTACCTGCGCGGCGGCCCGGGAAGCAGGGGATAACATCGCCATCTAGAGGCTCTCGCCGGCATCGCTCCCACGCGCCGATGAGATCAGAAAGGACGCTTTTCTCACCTCGCTCTCTCTGCGTCAGATCAACACGGCGGCTCTCTGGCCAACAGGTTTGTTCACGGCTCGGTGACACTCAGAACTATAGCTCCCCCATGCAAGGTGGCGTCCAGCGAGCATGCGATGGTGCCGGGGCAAAGAACAAGTGGAGAGAGAAACGGGCAAAACGTAGCGGAGAGGATGGGGGGAGGGTACTCGAGACACACACAGATACCATTTCGGTGAGGGATGGAGCGAAAACCTGCACGGGAAGTTTTCTGGTTTTTCATTCTTACCCAGGATGGGAGCCAGGCGGAAAATGTCAGACAGGCGGCTGTTCATCGGTGCGTACGGAGAATCCTCCAGGAAGTCGTTTCCTGTGATGGGGACAGGAACACGTTGAAGACAGACAGATAGAGGGAGGGATGGATGGATAACCAAGCCCCCCCCCCCCGCTGTCCCCCATTAGCCTGACAGTGTCATGGGTTATTTGGGTCAGTCAATAGCCACGCTGGCACACAGCCCCCACACGCCTGATTAGGCAGGTTGGTCAGCTGTGTTGCGCAAGTGGGAGCCGACCCAGTGGCAGCGAGCTGGGTGCAGTTTAGGGACTAAAAGCCCCCCCCCCTGCTAGGATATAAGCTTAAAGATGGCAGCGGGCCTCACGCTCCATTACCTTCAAGGAAAGGGATTTGGGATGTCAGAAAAGTATCCCGCGGAGTGATTGCCCGTGAACGCATTGGACTACTGATACATAAATATCTGTGTGCTACTTCCTGGGTGTGAAGTTTTGTCGGTTTGTGCCACAGCAGTGATCGGGAGTTCATAGATTCTGGAGGGGGGGGGGGGGGGTGCCCCCTCTGTACCGTGGGGAGGAGCATGGGGGCCACTAATCCCCCTCACCCCTTTACTGAGCAGATTAGACAACCTATGCCCATTTCCTATTAATAGCTGCGGGCCATATACTCCTAATGTAGCAGCCCACCCAAACAAAGAACCCCAGAGGGACTGCAGCACTAACATTGCTCATTCTTCACTGCACCTGTATACGAAAGACGAGCATCAAATTACATAATTGTAAATCGCGTTGCTGAAAAGGAGTAAATGAGTTTTGCTTTTGCGGATAAAACCCCCGCACCGACCTTGTAACCTCTGGTAGATCACCCAGTAGATGCGCAGGCAGTTCTTCTCCTTCTTCATGCCCCTTTTGCACCGGCAGTGGTACAGCGGGGTCTGTTTCAGCACGTCCATGACGCTCCGGCACTCGTCCCGGGCCTCCCGGCCGGCCACCATGCTGAAGTTGCTCTCCCTGCCGCACTGCCTCATCGTGCGGTACTTGGTGCCGCACGCCTCCTCCTTCAGGCACTGCTCGCTGGCCCTCACGCAGTCCAGCCGCGGGGCGCCGGCACGCGCGCTCTCCTCCGCGTGCAACAGCACATCTGGAAAGGCAGTTGGTAACAGCGCAAATTAAAAAAAATAAATAATGAAGAAAGTTATGCGCAATAAACACGAGTTCGGCTCGCGGAGCTTTTACATGGAGACACCTCCGCGGTCGCACGCTGTTTGTTGCACTATTTGGGAACTTGGTGACGCAGCTGGTTTTGTGGCCGTGAGTCACGCATTGATAACAGCGAGCATTTACCATCGCTGTCGTTATCATCTGGTGGTGCCGCGCCAGGTCTGATTGACTCCGACTTTGGGGTTTGGAGCAGTTCGGACCACGGAAGCATCCACATGTTACCCGGACTCTCAGTGAGCAGAAGCACCCCCACCCTCCATCACAAATTAGCCACTAAATACCATGGATGTATGGGCATCAATCACACAGCTGCGGTGGGGAATTCATCCAGTGAAACTTACCCAAAAGAGGCAGAAGGACGTAGAGCACTTGGAGGATCATCGTCTTCCTCTTCTGGTGGAACATAAACCCTCGTTGGACAGAAACTCGCCAGCTAAAAGCAACTTATCAGTAGTTTGACTCCCAGGGTACTTCCACTGTAAAGAAATCCATTGAAAAGACGTGGCAGTGCGCGCTCCGCTGTGCAAAACGAATCCGGATCGCCTCATGTGAGAAATCCCCCCCCCCCCCCCCCTCCCCAATCCCCTTACCCTCCAAAGAAACAAAAAAAAAAGTCTCCAGTCCCGATCCTGCACTGTTTGTCGGACTCTTGGCGTAAAAGAAGTGTTTAATTGGTTCTCCTCTCTTCTTTTCCTCGGGTGCGCGGGGGGGATTTTCGGGGGGGGGGGGGGGGGGTGTCTTCTCGCCGCCGGCAGACAAAGGGATCGGACCTGCGGTGGAGGCGAAACGGAAGCGCGTCCTCCGAGTCCAGCCAGCGGGGTGCTCTGCGTCCGTGCGTCTGAGCGCACGCAGCCAACTGGAGACGTGTTGGCCGCCCGCAGCCCATTCAGCAGGATGAGTGTGCCCCCCCCCCCCCCATCCCCCCTCCAACCCCCAGCGCACCGCACCAAAGTACAGTTATCTTATAATAAAAACGCGCACCCTCACACGTTTAATAATACAAACGCATACCTTCCTATCGGCAAACAACCGTATCACGGTGAAATGTAATAGAAAATAGATATTTTGCTTTGCATACGTCCTGAAGTGCCGAATACTGTGCCAGTGACATGACAGTGGCATTTTGGAAGTTTTGGAAGTTGCACGCTCGTCTCAGGCGTTATTTTACTCTTTTATTGATGTTTACTCCTGATAAAAATGTCCAGCGAAGACAAGAGGAAATGCAAAAAAAAAAGGGCCACGCAAAGAGAAAAAGTCCATTCCAGTCATTCAAACGCACAGAGGGCGTTTTAGATGAAATCTAACCGACATCAACTCTAAATGTGTGTGTGTGTGCGTGTGTGTGTTTTCAGTATAACTGTGCTGACATGCGAGAGGGCAAAGGGGCATTACCCATTTTATGACATGATTAGCGGACTGTAGCAGCAACTTGTGTAGCTTATGGACAATTCTTAGATCCGAATCCCCTTAAGAAACAGGAAAAACACGCGCTCGTGTTTCAGCTGCACAGCTGATCCACGGTATGCAAAGGACGCGCGTGGCTCCTCCCCCATCTGCAAAATGACAAACATTCTCCTGCAACATTTTGTGACGATGAAACACCCGGTTTTTATTTGATCTTTAATTTCTTTAAAGTAAACACCAGAATAAAGGGCCGGTTGCCCCCCCCCTCTCCCCACTGACCGCACTGAGGAGCGTGCACACCCGTGTGGCTGTCGCCATCTGTTGGTGGTTTGGAAGTAAAAGGTCAAAGCACAGATTTGCAAACCATTTGTTTGTCATTCAAACTACACTAAGCCGCGCACTGGAGATGTCATGTTCGGAAAACAACGAGCATCCCGTTGTTAACACCTCTTGTTGGATCACAGCATTGTCAAAAGGCGGGCAGTTTTAACTAATAGAGCGCGGTTGTATAATGACGGGGATGATGCACCGTGCAACTTGTAACTCTGCCTATGGCTCATTGATTGCCTATAATATTCAGAGCCTAATCCACTTGGCTAAATGACCAGACTATGTCAATAAGGCCCTCTCTGCATTAAGGACTGGGCTGAATCAATCGAGGATGCTGGTGTCAGTAAATCAACCATGCCACACACACACACACACACACACATTCATTCAGAGATGGGATGAAATAGCTTATTTAAATGTCAGCGAATAGCCCCTGATAGAAAAGGAAGGCTGTGATTAGGTGGGCGCGATGAATCACTCTTGCAAAGTACAGTCACTTTTCAAAATGGCTTTCCATTTAGTTAGATAAACACGCCACGGGGCCGGGGTCCGCAGCTGTTTTTAGAGGGAAAACTACAGGCTAAGAGACAGAAAATGGGCACAGGTGAGCGACGGGCCCCGGCTACCATCCGGGATAATTGTCTGCTTACAATTTGATGACTTTGCTGTTCTTAAGTCTCCAAAGGGAACCTTGCCAGTCAGGGGGAACGGCTGAGCCTGGTGATTAATGAAAGGCCTCAATCAATACGTGATATTAATTTTGCAAATGCGTGTCACAATGATGTAGTCCTCGGGTCATTTAACGTTTCACACGGTAATGTGGCTCATGGCAGCGGATCAGACGCTTTTTTTTTTCCCCTTCTTTGCCAGTCAGAATATATTTGAGAAAAATGTAGGCAGTGAGTCTCAATTGATTTCTGTTGAGAAAACCGACTGTGCCTTTTTTAAAACTTTTTTTTACTACTTTACATTTAAAAAAAAGTAATACTATATTTTTCAATGATGATACACGAACAATTACTTAACGTTATTAGTTACAACAATGACGTCACAATCAGACAGGCTACATAAACGTTAGGCCATAAATAGTTAACTTAACATTAGCTAACTAATGCTAACTGAAACGTACCTTAATCGCTGCTTGCAAAGACTTGGTTGCCATTCTATTGAGTCACGTTAAACGCTCTATTGAGTCAGGTTAAACGCTCTATTGGACACAGTGTTCTGTTTTACGTTTTAACTTTTAGGAAATGAGCTCCCACGGCTCATTGTTTATCAGCAAAGCTCGTTACGTTAGTAACGAGTGCAAAGAGGACAAACCAAACCGGTCGGTGTCATACGAGGGGCGGGGCCGTAGAGTCACGAGCGCCACGTCATAGGCCCAGTTTAAGTAAACGTTTACCCTAGCTACTCGCTAGTCCTGTTAGCTAGCTAGTTGACACTTTGCAGTAGTAACTCTTTGGTGCCGTATTGGTTAAAAATGAGTTTAGACACACTTTTCCAACAAATTCTTGTAACTGAACAACAGTTAACTGAACAGACACAGAAAGTCAAAGAAGGTAAGCTTGCTGCCAGCTAGCAACACCAGCTAACGAACGTTGACAGGCTAACGTTAGTAACAATGCTAACTAACGGCAACTAGTCGGGTCCTCAAATTTAAGGCTTTGCTCCCGCTTTATCAATCCACATTTCAGCTAACATTATCGATAGTGAATTTAATCTAATATTGTCTTTCTCCTTATTTGTAATATATTATTTCAGTCAAAGTAGCCATCATCAGATTTAATGAGAAGATCAAGAGCGCCGCTGAGAAGAATGAAAAGACCAATGAGGAACTGGATAAAACGGTGATGTTATGACACAATTAGCTTTCTCTTTCATATGGAGGCATCATGTAAATTCTGAAAACCTTTTGTGACTGGAGCAGCATTCATGCCGCAGTGTTAAATATCTGCCTTGTCTTTTTATATAATAATGTTTTTGGCAGGCTGTGCTTGAATGAATTACCAAAGTTATTAGTAGTCTGACACAAAATTGTGCCAAATTATACACTTAATCGTAACATTTAAATGGCTTTATAACTTTGAACCGTTTTATACTAATTATTAATAATGATTTCCTAAAAGGTTATTGTGACTATTGCCTGTTTCAGGGTAAAGTTGTGACGGAGCAGACTGATATTTGCACAGCCACGTATCATTTTGTTCTAGCTGCAACTGTGCTTTTCCAGTTAATGTTCATTTGGTGTTCTCCTGTAAGGAGCAGTCACATCCTGTCTATTGTATCACATGGAAAATATATAATTCAACTGCTCAAAATGCATTTACAAAACAGGGATTGTCTTATTGCTTTTTATTTACTTTGAATGTCTCAAGTTTTATCGTGATGCAATTTAAAGATAAATAAAATCAGTTACAGCAGTAATTGTTAGTGGCACTGTCATATGAAGGAACAAAGTGCATATTGGCATATTGATGAGCTGATCTGCTTCATGATTTAAAACACTTAATCTCTCCCATTCGTTTTCATCAACAGTGCAAATTTTCACTGCAAAATCAATGGTTAATTTCCACCGGATAACATTAGTGAAACCTTTCAGCACGTGTGAGATATGATGTCAAAGGCAGGCTCGTTGACCCCTCCGAAATATTGCTCACTCCTTCCGGTGCTTGTATGGACGTCTGAAAAGTGCAGATTGCTCTCTTGTATGAGTTATCTCTCTGTGTCTGAGTGTTATCTGCTTGAGAACGCAAGGCACTGATAACTTTGTCTGACCCCCTTAGAGTGGAGTATTAAAACTCTTTACATCAGATATGCAGGGAGTGTTTACTGTTCTCAGGACATTACAGTTTACAGTTCACGAGAGCTGTTTTACAATAATTACCCTGTTTAGAAAACCTGGAAGCTGATTGAGTTCTCTGAAAACTCACCACTATTTAAGAAACAATAAACTCACGTCCTTGACAACTCGACTAACAGACAGAAAAGTGTACGGAAAGTAATGCCTGAGGCTTCCTTGAAAGGTGCCTTCCATGAATTTCCCCTCCTACATAATTTGACAATTTTCAGTTCTCTGTGCTGTAGCGTATAATCACACTGGATGAAGAGAGGCTAAGGGAAGTAAACAAGACAAGTTTAGAAGTGTTTAGAGATTGAGATGGAGTATATGTACTGTACTCATCTAGACGGGAAGAGTGAATGAATATTGAAGGGAAAAAAAAACACGACACCTCAGTTAAACGTGGTAAAAAGCCTTTTTTTTAACTTCTATTTTCTCCTGCTGTGGGATCACTAACAATGTACATCCCTCTGCCAGATTGTGTTTCTAAACTGGCCCCTCATCCATTGTTGCTCCAGGCTCAGCAGTTGTCCGCAATGAGGCTGCAACATGACCTGATGAAGAAATGCGTAGACCAGATGTTGAAAAAAGTGGAGGAACTGCTGTGCCTAAGAAGCCAACGAAGGGAACGTCTTGTGGGTTGAAGCCTGAATCAATATTTACAACTTATTTCATGTCGGTTATGTGTAATATGAATACCGTGGGAGATTTTATAGAGTAAACTATGTGGAATAATTGTCTCCCTCCTTTTAGACAGAAAATAAGCTCCATTAAGTTACAAGAAAAACATTTTGGGTCTTTTTTTATATACTTTACGTTTTAAAAGAATCAGACCTCAGCTTCAGAAGATTCAGAAAGCCTGCATCCCACACACATTCTTCATAAATATATAATTCTGTGGATAGCAATAGTAGAAGTCTGTGAGGCATCAGAAGAAACTGCATTCTTATTATTGTTGCAAGCGTTTCCCGTGATCAGTCTTTTCATTACAGACTCAGATAAAGCAGGAGTGTAAAGAAGAGGAGCAAAACTTCCTTCGAGAGATCTCAATGTTCAACAGTGACTTCAGTCTCTGTGGGAACAGAAGCATAGTGTTCCAGAGCCAAACACACGCTGAGATCCTGGACCTGCAGAGGGAGGTGGAATCATTATACAAAGGTCGTAAAACACTCAATTGTACTGTTGTCATGGCAGATGGATGTTGTATGCTAGAATTATATATAGATAGTTGCAGAAATAAATCAGTAACTGGAATCATCACCGGGAGGACTGAAGATATAGTAGTTGCATTGTGTATAAAAGCTGTAGTTGGTGACTTTTATTGAGATATGTTTTTATCATATTTGTTCAAACTGTCTATGGCAGAAGAGCATCTGTGCAATCTGGTCCCTCTGCCTCCCTCTAGAGCTCAGTTGAAGAAGAACAAGGATCGGCGCCGAAAAGGTTCCGATGCAATTCTGCTCAAACTATCTTCTCTTCCGGTGCCTTTTCTCGTCTCAATTTCTATTGACACGCGTCCGTATTCGTGGCAAAAGTCGAGCCCAAACAAACAATCTACAAGTGTCACGTTAAGAGCGACAGTTTGAGCAAATCTAAAAAACGTATAAAAGTCAACAACTGCGGCTTTAATGCGAACATGCTGTACGGATCATCAAGGAACAGTTTGAAATACTGGAAAAGAAACTCCCCCATGTCTGAATATCCGTCCATCGGGACACCAAGTAGACCGAATCAAAACACGAAGCACACTGAAGCATGAAGACTGAATACTGCCGGTCGCGTGAAGGCGTGCGAGTGAAGACTCCCGGCATCTGTTAAACATATCCATCGAATACGAATTCACCCAAACGAAGTGAAAGGAAGTGATGAACTCCGACGCCGCTCAAAGCTGCAGCGGGCCTCAATTAAACCCAACAGTTTAATTTAGTAGGTAAAACCATGTTGGGACCAGGACTTGGTTTGTGTCCTGTCAGAGATCTACGGAGCAAAGTCAAAAATCACCTGACGTGTAACCTAATCCTTTCATGTTGATATTAGAAGTCAGTGCAGCAGCACTAATGACGCTCTGGTTGTGAACACACCACTATCAGTGTGTGTGTGATAAATAACAAGAGATAAACGGCCAGTGTTTTCAGAACCGGAGAAAAGTTAAGATACTTATGTTTAAGACCAGACAACCCCCTCGTGTGGTGATTGTTAATTCAAGATATCATATTCCCCCATAACTTTTAATGACAAATTATACTTATATTGTTCATTAGGTTTCACCTCCCTGAACAAATGAGGACCAGTGTCTTCACAGTATGTATCTAATCTGGGCTCAAGGGAACAGAAGTTTCATATTGTTTGTAGAGTTAACATGAATTAAAAACAAAAAGCCCACGTGGTTTTCCCTGGGTAGGATGCTTTCACTGTGAGCATTCTGAACCTTCGCCCTTTCATCATTCTAGAGGCCTAAATAGGATTCATCTGTTCTGCCCTTACAGAGATGGAGCTGATGAGCCGCAGGAACAACCACACGAGCGCCATGCAGGTGGAGAGGCGAGCGCTCCAGCTCACGCTGCGGGGCCTGGAACGCACCCAGAGAGGTGAATAAACCAAACGCTCCCGCCGTGTTATTAATGGGGTGCTTTTTTAATATTGTTTATATTTCTTTTTTCGAACTTCAACTGCAGTAAAGTCAAATGTATATAAAACCAGAGTGAAAGCTACATTAATTAATTAATGTGGACGTGCTGCCAAAAGCAAAGTCATGTGATCTATTATTCCCGCCCGCAGACCTGGAGCAGCGATTGATTGAAGCCGAAGCAACAACTGCGTCTCTGAGAGCCGAGCGCCTGTCGGTGAGCCGCAGACCTCTCACTGACGCCACCTGTCTGAGGTTAGTGACATCCGTACGGGGTCACGTCAGTCTCAACGATTGCAAACGCGCACAGAACGACTCACAAGAAGATTCCCAATTCACAACCCACACACAAAATGTGAAGCGATCCTCAAATATAAATCATAACATATTCCTGTGTGCATTGAAATGTATTTGTTAATGATCCGATCTCATACATCCGTTCGTATTCTGACGCAGCGGAGCCTCAATCCGAATGAAATGTCTCTGTCTGAGCCGCGGGGATGTGCAGGTGGTCTTTGCGTCAGTAGGCAAAGGGCCGTCGCTGCAATCTCCCTCCTTTCATCTCGGCGCCGCTTCGCCTGCTTACTCTCGGGTGCTCTGTGCACTCGCAGAACGACAGGAAGGGAATCGCAGCGCCCTGCGGGCTCGTTAGACAGACGCTGTTATTTACTGGGGGTGTAGCCGAATCCCCCCCCGAGAGAAGTGCTGAGTACACCAGTGGGCCCCCCTCCTCCTTCCCCCGCTGCCGGTGTTCCTCTCTCTGCTTCCTGATGGCTTCAGTCCAAATCCAGAAGTGTAAATAACAACATTAGGACCATTTGGCTTAATTAAGGCTTTGATCCGAGATGTATTTCATTCAGTCAACGAGGTGGTGTGGGAAGGGGTGGGAGGGGGGGCTGTGGCTAATGTGATTGATGCAGGCAGGTCTTAAAGGGAAGAGGAATGAGGGGCGGTGAGCATTTCCACCAAACGCTTATCCAGCAAATTACCAGAGAAATGTTTTTTAGTTAAAATCTGGTGTTGGACTTCTGATTATTAAGATATGAGTTGGGACGCGTGTTTTTGTGCCTTGACACAGATGGAGAGAGTCATGCTCTCATTTGGGGTTTAATTGGGTTGAGATTTGGTAACCGAAGACCTTAGCATAGCACGCCGGACATAACTGAAACACACTCAAACCATTCTGTGGCCTCTGCTACTCTTCACTTAATTGCCAGCTATAGATATGCAGGGAAAGAACTCTTTTCCTCTCAAACAGTGCCGAGCATTTGGTGAACCTTCGGACACGGAGCTGGACGGCCTCATTTCGAACAGCTCCACACGTCCAAGCCGTACCTTCTCGACACGACGCTGGTTTTTAAGAAATGATAAAGTGGCGCTTACAAACCACTGAAGACCGTATGGGCGGCATCAGGAAGACGGGGAAACAAACGGCCAGCAAAGCGCCCGCTGGTCACGGTGCAACAGGAGGTGGTCGTAGGTTATGAACAGAGGAACCCCCCCTCCATTGAAACACCACGTCCAATTAAAGAGGAGATCAATAGTGGTAACTGCTGGTAACGTTATTGCTGATGCCGCTACTTTGGATAATGTTTCCTCTCCGCCATACCGCGGCTGTGAAGTGATTGACAAATCCCCGAAAACCCATCTAGATGACGGTTTATTCATTTCAACATGTTAACGCCCCCCCCCCGTACCCCCGGGACACGTCCTCCCCCCTCCTGACGCAGGCACTTTTCATAACCCTTTGTTTTGCCTCCTCGTTATTTACAGTTCTCCTCTCGCCTGCTTTAAATCACGCGTGTGGGTAGCGTGTTCATCCGCCGAGCCTCTTTAAGAGAACCGGCTCGTCTGTTATCAGCCCAAGAAGTGCTGAGGACGAGGATCTCATGGTCCATCGATCCTGTCTCTTTATAACGCAGGTTTAACCCCCCCCCCTTTATTGATGGTTGGCGCATCTCCGCTTGCAGATCGTTCGCCGTCGTATCGTAGAGGACAAAAAGTAAATCTTAAACACTCAATCGTTGTGCTCAGGGATTTAGGAGTCAGAAGTTGTATGTATTGTTTCCGTCGGTCCGTCGGGTCCTCGCCGAGGCCTTGGGTCCACAACAAGCTGGACTGAGTGATCACGGGGCGCAATATTTCCTCTACACTTGGAAGTGGATTGTTACACCTGTCAGGTGGAATAAAAACCAAACCTGCTATTCAGGACCAGACCACTTGTGACTGCTTTTAGGAGTATTTTCTTCTTCTTCTTCCTGTCCTTCCAGTTACTGACATGTCATTCTTGCCCAGGCTGAGGAAGGAGCTGGAGATGCATAAAGAAGAAGAGCTGGAGCTGCTGCGAGAGGCGCTCAGCTCCGAGATCCACTTCCTGAAGTCGGTAAGCCGCTTTTATTCAGCCTGATAAAACTGGTGTGTTCATATTGGACCAGCGTCACATACGTTCATTGGTGTAACACACTGTTTATTCATTTTCATGAAGTTACCTGAGAGGGAGTTCAAAAGTCATTCATGTTCATTCTTTGAGTCTTTTTTCTTCTTCTATGAGCAGAAGCTGGACGGCAGCCAGGGAGCAGAGCAGCATTAGGTTTGGCACAATGAGGAGACAAAGACACTCAAAGCCAACGTGAACATGAATAAAGAGGATGGAACAAACACAGCGGGATAATTGGAGAGGGTGTTATTTAACATTTACTTTAAAAGTGACATGAAAAGAGCTAATTCCCTTCTGAGAGCCGCCTGGGTCGGAACAAAAAACGCTTTGTAAATGTTGCTGTTGTGTGTGATGTACCGAGTGGAAGATGACATTAGAAATGAAACCATTTGGTTATTTTCTCCTCTTTTTTTGTGAAGCCCAAACAAAAAGCGTGCAGATCTGTCTGAGCCAGTTTGCTTCAGTGAGGAATATTGGTGGTTACATGTTGCGTGTTCCATTGCTGTCAAATTCAAAAAGTGATTGTATACCGCCCCCTAGTGTACAAAAGGGCACATTGGGTCAAGACAGAATCTCACTTACTGGATTTGAAGAGATGTAAAAAGAAAAAAAGATCATAGCGAGTGAATGCCAAACAGGTTGATTTGAATTGAATCTTTGACTTTGGGTTTAGAACATGTTGGAGTTGTTAACCCGAGTTGAGGTCCGGCTCGTTCACAGCGTCTTCATGAACTCGTCTAAATTTGTTGGAATTTAAAAAGTCTCTTTATTCACGCAAACTAAAGGAAACCGAGGTGCGTGGGCAGCGTTGTTTGGGATGTTTAGAGGCAAGTCTCATCCGTGAAGGAGAAGAGCATTTTTGTGTGCAAATACGATAAACCACATTTTTGTTATGCGATTGTTGCACCAACCTTTAATGCGATGTGCAATATTATTGCAAATAGATGTCACGCTCTGCCTCCGACAGTCAAAGCAGACGAGAGGGAAGCGCGATCGACTCAAATCAATAGCGCACCACCAAAAATGAATATCGCACTTGTTTTCATATATTGTGCGATAAGTCAAAATATTGCATATCGCCTGTGTGCAAATGAACATTCCCTCAACACGTTTCTGCCATTTCTTTAAACCAGCCATTTCAAAGACAAACCTTTTCACGCACGTGCTGTTAAAAAAATACCTTTGTAATCACTTACCAGTCAATTACTGTGATAGAGACCAGATATATGCATTTAAGTCTTTTTTCCCCTCTCAGCAGTAAAATAAATAAGCCTTTTCATATATTTCATACAACGTTAAGAGAAGTTTACACCAATGAGAAGCTCACAAACCCTCGGCTCCCTCGTGTGGCCCAAAGGGCTCCTGCAGCTGTAAATGTCTTCGGCCTATCAAATCAATTCTGTCGATGTTAACGTGATCTCTGCGCATACGGTCATGACCCCGAGCCACTTGGGACTCAGTTACCTGCAAGAAACATCAGAGGGAAATAAATGGTGATTTTGCCCGTTGCCTCCTAATAAGAGATGCTACAGTTTACCAATGGTAATCCCTCAATCCGCAGACGGTTATTTCAGTAATTGATGATTACACGGACTGTCGGCCTACACCAGAGGGTCATTTGCTCTCTGATGAGTCCTAATAGAATGATCTGGAATGTCAACAGTTACCTAATGAGATCCTGCCATCTCATTTTAACCTCGACCTCGGTGAGCCTCGTCTGGATTTATTCCTAAAAATAAAACGAGCAGACACAACAGCAGACAGAGCGCTCCATGTGGTGGAGTGGTTAAGGTCCCTTTCACCGCTGCTGTGGTCCAGACATTGAGCACATAAGTATTATTATTACTATGAAAAGGCAGACGTTTGTCTGCACAGAAACGGTCCTACGTGCTTACTGTCAGCTACAGTGTGTTCATGACACCAAAGAAATGTCTTGCTTTCCTTTTTAAAAAGTATTTTTGTGTGAAATCACTTTTTGGGGGGGGGGGGGGTTACCTTCAAGGTCAAATTGAACATTGCTTTCAGACGGCAAAGTTTGGATAAGTGAAAAATGTAACACTCTTATTTAATACGATATTTAACACCAATAATACAAAACAAGTGACAGAGGAAATGTTGTTATTTGACTTTTGGTAACAACACAGCCTTTCCCCTTGCACCCCCCCCCCCATGACGTAAGCATGCGAGCGGTGCCGAAAAGGCTTTTATTCTCCCTCGCTGCCACTTGGAGGGGCTTCCACGCTGCCTCGGGGACCTCGTAGGTGCTTCTGTGCCTCGGCCCGTCATCCACACACGAGGCAGGCGTGCTCGGCCTCCCCCCCCACCACGCCTCGGCCCCTCAGCTCAGACGTGAGGTTTCCCACCACGCTGCTCAGCAGTGAGCTGCTGCTCTTTGTCGTCAGGCAGTCCTGGTCTTTAGGAAAATACGCCGTCTTTGCTCCGGACACTTGAATGGGTGATTCTGGAGACGGAGAGGAGGAAGGTGAGGCGGAACCTCAAGAGACGCATCGAGACGTGAAAGTGCAGTCGTAGGTACGGCACATTTAGCTAGATCTGTGACGTTGTTCCTGCTTTCATCTCACCAGTCAGCAATATGTTTCCAAACGTGCGTTCTGCAAAACTGTTTATCAGCATATAAAACGACGAGTCGTTGCGTTTCCGTTAGCGTAGAGCGAGCCATCCATATAGACTGTGGCTGTTTCCACGGCAACAAAGGAGCGCTTTTACAGTTTTAACGTCACCTTGCACGGTGCAACATCCCACTAGAGGCCGCCAGTGCTACCCTGCGGATCCATCCGGGCACCGCTCACAGGATTTCTATCATTTCCGTGATTAAGTCCACGCGTGGACGCGAGAAGCTCCTCACCTTGGCACACAGCCAGCGCGTTGCCTCCTACGTACTGGCTCTGCCATTTAAAGCCGGTCTGCTCGCTGCATTCCTCGTACGGGCGACTCCTCCGGAGGAAAGCAAAGTCGTAGCCCTGCGAACGAAGAGTCAAACCAGTTCCGCCAGGCGATTTGTTATTCGTGGGATGCGCTGGTACTGGTTCCCGCACGTTCTGGTCTCCGGGCTCCACAGCGGGGTACGGGGGGGACTCACGTGGTTGCACAGGGGTTTGCAGTAGCGCTTGCTGGCCACCGTGGCGCACGCCAATCCTCCGTTGGCGGGGACTTCGGCGCCTGGGCAACCCTGCGATTCAGCACCTCGGCATTCTAGAGGTCAGAAGGTTATACAAGGAATGAAGCATTTCAATGCCAACCTCTCGCTGGTCATCTGCAGCCTTTTGATGTTTCAGAAATCCACATTCAATTAGAGGAAGAGTGAAAGCGCCGATTTCAGGCTCACGTGAACCGCCGCAACTATTATTCACCATCTGCACAGTTTACACCTCAACATTTAGCTGTAATCCGTGATGAGAGCCTCCTTCAGTAGATGAAAACCCTTCGCCGAGTGCTTCAGTAGCTCTCAGCGCGTCGCTGTGACCAAAGGGTGAATTCACTTCAAACCGAAAACATCTATTAACAGATTATGTAGCACAAGAATAAGGAATTACAGTTTCGGGTGAAGTCTGTATCATTCTCCAATTAAGCTGATGTTAATCTGACTGTGAGCTAGTGAACAACAGGTGCGTGGGGGGGGGGGGGGGTCCTACCCGTCAGCTGGTGTTTGTGCAGCGCAGCGGTCAGACGGCGCATGGACCGCAGCAGAGCGGCTCCATCGTGTGAGCTCAAGGCGGAGAACTCGGCACACTCTGCCGCCGCCTGCAGGTCCAAATCAGACACAACACGTTTGGTGGTGATATTTGTGAACGCAAGTTAGACTTCATGTGCATGTTACAGGTTGGACAAACAGTAGTTTACCGTGACGTCTGATGATAGACGCTCAAAGAGCTGAGGCAGCACGTTGCAGTTCTGAAAGTCAGTTTCACCTCCAGTCGAACAGGAAAACACTGCAAACACACACACACTCAGTCTGAATGTACTCTGATCAACCCATTTCAGACAGACGCATAAAGCATGAGATTACCTGCCAGTGAGCAAAGCAAAGTCAATGTTCCCCGTGGTGCCATGGTCGCTGCGCTAGAACCCGTCTGACCCAGAACCCGCGGGCGAATTTATTCCGCCTGCCCGTCGGTGCAAAGTTTCACCATTGGCCAATATTGTGATCTCCCACTGGATTGTCAACATTTCACATGGTGCCATTTCTGATGTAACATGAACTTTGGATGTGCAAAAGGTGCATTAGGTGTTTTTTTTTTTGTGCAGATGTCGTTTTTTTCCTGTTTCTACTGATTATGCCCCTTTAAACCTGCTCTGTGCAGTTGGGGGAGCTGGTAGTACACGCTAAGTGACGCGAGTAATGAGCCTGTGGACGTTTTGTCACTACTACTCCTTAGTTGTCCGCCCATCGTGGAGAAAAATGTCAGTGTGAAATCTACACCCACAAAAGCCCCTCAGACACGCCGAGTGGCTCGGTAGGCCAAGCCGCCATGGCTGTGTAAATAATTCACCGTGGACGTCGTTCATTATGGATGTCTGACGATCTGGCTGCAGATAAATCATTGAACGTGTTTGAGCTCGAGCTCATTAAGAGGCGGAGAATTGCCTCTTCATGTTTGATACGAGGAACAAAGATTTGTGCTCCAAACGGACCCCCGTCTTCACGTCCTCTCGCAGGCTCTCGGCCGTTCTTCATTTGAGCGACCTGCAAACGTTATGGTGACGTTATCTACAAATACAGAACGGATTCAATTGGTAAAAAAAAAAAAAAAATGAAACAATTATGAATTCATTATGGCTTGAATGCACAACATGTTGCCCTGCTTCAGAGGAGGAGATGACACAGTTGCCCCCCCAACCCCCGAGGACACCCCCCCCACCCCGGATCCAGGACACATACAGTGTTCTAGATCCGCTTTTAGTGTTTTCTGTTCATTTAAAGTGTTGCCTTGTATTTTAATATATATAATATTAACTAAGAAGGTTTACTGAATGTGTTATTGTTATTCCTGAATATGATAATATCCAGATTTTGTCAGCGAACCCGCCAGTTCTTTGCAGATGATAGTTACGCACAACAACAACAAACACATAGTTGTTTTATCTGTTGTTTTCTGAATAAAGTGCCATGCAGAGAAATTGGGGTTTCGCCATGAATTTATTGACTTTAACATCTAATTTAGGCCCCGCCCTCTTCTGACCCGCGGCTCACCTCCTCAATGAGAATCTCTATTTGAGGCTCCTTTACTTCCACTGCTGTCAGTCGGATATTTTTAAAAAGAATTTCTCCTTTCAGGATTAAAAAGCCTACGACAGGAATTTTCTTGCATAATATGAACAAACGCCTCTTCAATGTCCAAAATCGATAAATGTTAAAGGTTTGTTTGCTTTTGCCAGAATGACGTTCAAGCTGCTGGGAATGCAACTACCCCTCTAACCTTCGGCCTGGGAGGGGGGGGGGGCGACCCACCTTACCTTCCTCCGCGGCTCTATAATCAAAGTCAATACTTCCTCCTCCACTGGACCAGAGTGTTGATCAGTTCTACCCCCAGGGGGCTTCGCCTGCTGACCCCCGTCTGCGGCATCCGACCACTAATGCGTTCGCTGTAAGAAAATCAGACTACATATTACACACGGGTGTAATTTATAGTCATTTTGGTATAAACGTCCACATTACACACTGATCGTGTGCTGCTTTACAGATTCGAATGGAAGCTGTGATTCCATCACTGTATCTCATTTTACAAAATACATCATCCACTAAAATACATCCACTCTTTACATTTGCATCAAATGTCCTTTGTCAAATCAAAAGAGATGAGAGTCTCATCAAAGTTGTATGACCAAGCCGTGACTCTCCGGAGAGGACACACACACACACGCCAAGAAGTCCTTTGTGGCATGAAAATGATGATGAAAGGCGCGCATGGTAGCGACGCGCTCTCCTCTCTCTGCCTAACCTTTCTGAAATGCTCGTGACACTCTTCCTCCCCCCCCGGGCTCCTCGTCTGCCTCCCTCAGCGCCGTTGTGCAGAATTAGCCATGCGAGGAAAACCCGCTAGTCTGTTGTCGAATGATTCACATGGATGAGCCTCGGAAAGACGAGCCCGAGAGCTAATTGGTATTCAGGGGGACCCGGCGCCACCTGTTCCAGAGACCTCGCCTCCTGGGGAAAGTTGGAGCGCAATCGCAGCTGATGAAAAGCTGATAACGTCTATTAGCCGACTTTAATTACCCCTTTGCCTGCATCGCTAAGCCGATTTATTTTTGTTAATTTGTTGATCCGGTTGCAGGATCTCACACTCGGAGAGCTTCTGTGCGATCGATTCTCAAGACTCAAACGACTTGGGAGGCATTGAACTCTGAACTAGAACCAAAAAAGCCACCTTGTATTTTGGGCTTTTCTGTCCAAGCAGAAGGAAAGCTGGAGGAGGAGGCCATGGTTGAACGCGGCAGGGGGGCTTTCTTCTCGCCTCCACTTTTACACTGATCTACTGTTATAGTGACAGGAACATCTGCTGGTGGGACGAGAAGCTCCAGTGAAAAGTGTGACTGACGGCTCCACTTGTCCCTCATCTCCTACTCGTTATTTTTATTCTCTCTGTTGTTTAGTGGAGGCAACTTGGTGGCAGTGTCAGCTGGAGTGCAGAGGGGGGCGACTGAACCTTCTAAGTGGGAGAGGAAGCTTCTTAACTCGGTCTGCGAGGAGTTCACGCTGACACCTACGGGAATGAAGTGGAACCTCCACGCAGCGCAGCAGCAGCCCCCCTCCACACGGAGGAAACTACTCATTTATTTTCATTTATCTTTATTAGATGCAGGCGTACAGAGTTCTTGTTTACCAGCGGCCCTGTTAGACGTTCGCTCCCTTCCTCTGCACCGGCTGTCCTGTGAGTCTCCCTCACGTCTCGTCGGCTCGCTTTGTTTGCCAGGAAACCCGTTTGCCTTTGTGAGATGCATGTAGTGGTAAAAACATTCTGTAAAGAATTGTCTTGTGCTAAAAGCCAGATCTCAGTGGTTGACCCTGAGATGGAGAGATAGAAAGATCTAGGATTTGCAGCTGTGGTTTGGGGAAGGGGGTCATCTTGCTCTCACAGACCTTCGATCAGAGGAGCATTGGATGTCGAGGACTCGAGTGCGACTTGAGTCGCGCACACAGTGACTTCAGACTGGACTTGAGACTCGTCCTCGAAAGACTTCAGACTCGACTCGAGCTTTGGGACTCGTGAACAATGTTTAATTTTAGCCAATTTTATCAGGCATCTGAAAACTCACCCTGATAGGTGAGTAAACATGTTTAGCTAAGCAAGCATTGACCATGTACCGTTAGCTTGCTTCTTGCTTTAGCTACGACCCAACGTTACGGGAACACATTTTTAGGCTCTGCCAGTGAAAAACAAAGTCATTGCTTATACACTTTGCAATATTTTCTTGATACCCAGAGTACCATTTTTTCAGTTGATAACCTTGTATCAGATGGGCTTTGTTGGACATATAATTGTAAGCTAATATACGTGTGGCAACACTTATTATAACCACAAGAGACTTGACTTGGACTCTAGCTCAGAGACTTGTGAGCATCTCTGGTGTTACACTCAGCTCCACCTGAGTTCTTATCTCAATTTGTGGCTTCTCGTAACTGGCGCTAAGACCTGTCTTCAAGTGTATAAAAACTCAGCGTTTTTACTGCTCGGCGACGCCATTCCACAGAACGCTGAGATACATGCTGGTGTGTTTGACCTCCTGCTTGCAAGCAATAGTTAGAGACAGATATCCGTGGAGAATTGCTCATGTAATCTTCTTCTCTTCTAAATAAATGTTAACTTTTTGACTTTAACGTGCTGGATCCTTCTCATCAACCGACTCGGGGGGATCGGAGATCCTGACACCTTCCTGCGTGTTCCTGTTCGCCAGCCACTTGCTGAACGGGCCTCCCTGCGCGTTGCTTCCTGCTCCTTCGTGTACCTTCCTGTTTTCTTCAAGGTCATCTGACGACCGGCTTATGTTCCGGGCCGGTTCGCCGCTAATCTGGTCCGTTCGGCTGTGATGATCTGCGATCGTGGCCATAATGAAAAAACTGAACTGTCCAACTGAAGAAAATTCAGTGCATGTGTTCACATCCATAGATCATTGTGAGTTGTGACCGGCCTCCTGCCCTGACAGTCGTCCTGAGAGCATTTGTGTGTTGGGGATCCGCTCTGTCGCTTCATGACCGGGGGACATTCAGAAAGAGCAAAGGTTCATTGTTCATCTCTTAAAAGGGTTGGCAGGGCTGCCACAGACTGACAGGAGGCCAGTGACCCGGCGCCACCGTCTTTTCTCTCTTTCAAGCGCAAAACACCAGCGTGAAAGCTTTTTAAACTCTGGAAGACTAGGCTTGGTTAGAGATCGATGCAGTGCTTTCTGCAACATTTATTGGCTTGTTCGTTTTGAAAATGTTCTTGTCTCTTCTACTTGTGCGCGTTGGGGATTGTCTTTGTGTGAGACAAGGACAACATTTTAGATCAAGGGAACTCTGGTGGAGTAAATCGCTTCATATATCAACTCAATATCTTATTTAAGACTCGCAGGAGGATTCCTAAAAATATCAGAAGAAGAATAATATTAAACCAAAAACAGTCATAATTTATTCATAAAGACACAATCCTATGTAGGCTACTATAGACAACTGGGGATATGATCGTAATTCATTTTTACAAATACCATGTATACATAAAAATGTTACTTTGTAAAAAACACACACAGCTAAAGCAGAGAGACCAATTTGATGAATAACCATTTTGGCTTTAAATTGTCTAACATTCATGTATAATGAATAATCTTGGTTCTTCTGTTTTAAACTGAATTACAACGAGGACGTCAAGTCCTGGGAAAGATGTTCTTCTGCTCTTTGTTGACTGAATTTCCCCTGAGTTCTTGCAGAAGTTTGACAATGGCAGACGATCAATTACCCCAACACTTCAGGTGAGCCAAACAGAGAGAGGACCGACAGCTAAAGCACGACATCCACACAGATGTAAGAAAGTAAAGACACAAAGAAGAGGAGACGCTGAGGATCCAGATCCAAACGTCCAGGGTTGAAAGAGGAGAAGATGGTCCACCACAGAGAAGTCCGACTCAGCAGAGAGAACAATTACACTCTGGGAGCGACGGAGAGAAAAAACGTTATGGACA